TTTTTACCATGGTCAGAAATAATAGTTGTTGGTTTTCCGTACGTGGGTATATAGTTGGTTAGTATTTTCTTTATACATGCTTTCGTGGTGGCTTTGCACAACGGGAAAAGTTTAACGAATCGAKTAAAGTTATCGAGTACTACGGGGATATAGGTATATCGACATTGTCCTGTCGGTAACGGACCATATATATATCTACTAATACGCGATCTAGTTTATCTYTGGCTAACACCGACACCATCTCGCCCTCGGGATTGTAGTTAATTACTTTACTACGTTGACATATGTCGCAGGCACGTACTACTTCGCGGACCGTTCTGAAAAAACGTCCAAAATAAATATGTTTACGAAGTGCATGTGCAGTTTTAACGACCCAGGGTGCCCGTAATAGTCGTGAAACGCAATAATTAGAGTTCTCTCTAAATGTTTTGGTGTATAAATAGACCACGGCGAAGCACTATGATCGGACTTTCGTACAAACAAGATATCATTATGTAGTAGGTAATATTTCGACAGTTGCTTACTCAAACAATTATTACCGTTGAGATTATCTCGAATTTTTARCAATTTATCGTCTCGTTTCTGCTCGTTTGACATTTGGTATAGAATTTGTGTTAGAGAGCTGGGTAAAGTGGGTGGTATCATCATAGATAAAATTACTGGTTGTCTGTTGTCGTTGACGTCATCACGTCCAACTGRGTTTTGAGACAGTGTATCTACAGGGTTTTCTTTACCTGGGCAATGACGAATTTTTAAGTTATATTCTTGTAGCAAAAGTGTCYACCTGGACAACCGTGCATTTCGTAGCTTACACGTAAAGAGAAATGTCAACGCTTGATGATCGGTGTACAGCTCTATCGGATACCCTAATATATATAMCCTGAATTTCTGACAAGCAAACAYGATGCCTAATAATTCTAACTCAGAGATCGTATAATTCTTTTCGGCAGCAATAAGGGTTCRGCTCGCGAWAGAAATTGTGTGTCGTACATTGTTATGATCGACTTGAAAAAGCTCGGCACCGAGCCCTAAGATAGAAGCGAAACGTTTTATTAAAATCGGGATGCGTTAGGGAGACCTGTTTACTGAATACATTTTTAATCTCTTGAAAAATCGTTCTTTCGGATTGTCCAAATTCCCAGGGGACTCYTTTTTTCAATAAACGAGCAAGTGGTACTAATAACGTTGAATGATTATGTGAAAATTTCCTATAAAAATTACAGAATCCTATAAATGACTGTAAGTCTTTCCGGTTTCGGGGCTCTGGAAATTCGCTGATTGCTTGAGTCTTTTCGGGATCTACAGAAAACCCCCCGTCCGAGATATAGTGACCTAAGAATTTTATTCTGGGTTTAGCGAACCTACATTTGCAATATTTGAGCGTTAAATTTGCATTCAAAATTTTTTTCGAACAACCATTGAATGTTTCGAATATGTTCAGTGAAAGTTTGTGACGCAATCAATATGTCATCAACATATATGTGTATATCTTTGGGTAGGACCGTATAACATCTCACATATTTATATATTTGAATGGTCAGTT